TACAATCTAAAAGGGAAATAAAATAAATAATTAAAATAAATACCTAACTATTACAATTGTGACATTTAATTGCCTTCTCAAATAATCAAGAATAAAATAAAATAAAATAAATAAAATTAAAAATGAATCACAATAATAAAAAGAAAAGAATAATAATAAATAAAAGAATAACACTCGAAACATGTGATTGCACATAAAACACATTGGAGCACATAAGAGGATTTAAAATGATACAAGAAGATACCTCCCTTGAAGTAGTAATTAATGGGAAATTGGATTTGCCCTATTTACCTCCAAAATTAACAAAATCATCAAGGCACCAATTTAAATAACAAATAAATCATAGCAAATGGAAATAAAAATGAAATCAATCAATTGAAACACTTAAATGAAGTGTAATCAATGATTATAGAAGAAAAGCAACTTCTATTTAAGCAATCCAATCTGTTAAGGATCTAATTGCAAAAATAAACAAAGTTTTGGGGGCAAATTATAATTATCACAAAGATATGGGATCACAATTAAATAAAAATAAAGTTCAGGGACCTATTTACAATTATATGAAGGATCTGATTGAAAGAAATCAAAATATTTAGGGCCATAGAGAAAATGCTCAAGGGTACAGGGACTGATTTGCAATTTCGTAACCAGATTTCTCAGCCAAATGGGCCACTGGGCCATTTTATTTATTTGTTTGGGCCGAAAACCCTCTCAGCCCAACTGAAAATCCAAGAAAGAAATGGGCAGCCCGTCTTTTTTATCACTCAATTCAACTCAAATAAATACATGGGTTTTGACTTCTTAGCCCAACCCAAACCCACAAGAAATAAACCAAAACCCATTTCTAAAACCCAATAAAATGACCCAAATTTTATACCAAAACCCAACCAAACAAATCTCAACCCAAAAACTCCAATTATTTTATCAAACCAATCAAAATAATAAATCTATCAAAATTATTAAAATATAATTAGCAACGAAATGGGTTATGAAACAACATACTTGAAATGCAGTTAAAATATGAAAAAGAAAATAAAAAACTCAATAGGGACAAGACTGGTCCAATTACAAAAGCTTTTGGGCCACAATGTAATTATTTAAAAGTTCGGGGGGCTGAACCGCAAATTTTCCAGATTATCATGCAAAGCTTCGGAAATCAACTTCTGCAACTTTTCCTACAACATTCTGTCGGTGCCCGTGGTTACCGCTGACGGTGCCTCCGGTTACCGATCGCCGGCAATTTTTCCGGTCACCAAAAATTATTAAAACACACATTTTCACTCGATTTTTCGAGTAGATTCCAAATCCGGATTTAGTTTGCACAGAAAACAATTCGAAGATAGTCAAAATGCCAGAAACAGCCACGATTTTTATTATTTTTAAAATACTCAAATTTTCACCAAAAATCATAAAAATTATACTACAACACTCCTTACAATTCCTACCATATAAGTATGATTTTATTTGACAAGAAAACAACATAAAAAAAATTAAAATAAAGCAAAACAGCCCTTGAAATTCATTTTTTTCATTTTTCACATTTTTCAAACAATTATCATGCATTCACAGAAATCATTTTTTTTAATGTTTATTCATGGATTCCCCAAAAATTCAACAACATCAGTAACAACAACAAACGAAGCCAAGGGACAAACAAACATCAAATCATGTATTTAATTTAATAAATTAAAGAAAGGAAAAAGTTGGAAAAAAGATAAAAGAATAAATACCTCAATGAAGATTGTAGTCTCTTGATTAAAATTTGATGAAATTGCAAGCTCCAATCATTTTTATTGGCCTTGCCCCTTTCTTCTACACAAGTCCGAGAGAGAGGAAGAGAGTTCTGGAGATGATCCAGGGACCTCTGCTGCAAATTCCTTCTCTTTTCTGCTTCTGCCTCAGTCGAGGTCCTCGGAGCAATTTTCTTCCTTCCCTTCTTTTGTTCCATTGCTCCACCGAGAGAAATTGAGCTAGGGATCTCTTCTGCAAAAATTTCTTTCCCTCTCTGTTTTCTGTCCGTAGCCTTCGTCCGAGAGAGGGAGAGATGCGAGAGTGAATCAGGGGCCTCTCTGCAAATTTTCCTTCTGCACCGAGGCCTGAGAGAGGGAGCAAATGAGGGGTGTTTTTTTCTTTTCGGTCCCCTGAGCTCCTGAGAACCTCTCTGCAGTTTTTTCCTTCGTCTGTTCAGAGCTTCTGAGAAGAGCTCGGGAGAGCATTTTTCTTTCTGTCCGTTGGAGCTCCAGGGACTCCTCACGCAATTTTGGAGCCTTTTCTTCAATTTCCATCCGTTGCTCCTCGGTCAAAAGATGGGATCATGATGTCTAGTCATCATGATGTCCAGAGACATCATGATGACTAGACATCATGATGCCCTTTTTTTTATTTTCTATTTTTTATTTTTGATTTTTTTTTTGTTTTTCTTTTGCTAAAATAAACCTGCAAATATAAGAAAAATACACATGAAAATAAATGACTCATCAAATAGAAAATAATCGAGGAAAATATTAAAATTGATAAAAATTTGGTGTCTACACTTTGTGTATACATGAAATCAATATTCGGTATGCATAATCTTATTGTCTTAAAGTTGGTGCGATACACATAATTAAGTTTCTATAGTATGATTAATTGATCATGAGTTCTATCATTTTTTTCACTTGATACTCAAACAATCAATTAAAGGTCCTTTTAAACTATAACAACATATACTATGCGTGAATCATGTTGACCTTTATTAATTTCTTTTCAAAGTTCAATTGCTGTCAACTTAATTTCGAATAAAATATATTTTTTATAGAATGGACATTAATCTTCTACATTAAAACTTTGGATTAATCTTCTATATACCGATAGTATATATATATATATATATATATTGTCAGTCTTAAATGAATGACAATTATGCAGAATTTAGATTTGAAATGCAACTTCTACATATGTGTCGTGGATCCAATGATGATACTTTATACATTGTAAGATTTATTCTAAAACTTAAACTTTATTATTAAAATGTTGGGTTCTAATAAGAAGGGGAGACAACCAAAAGAAAAAAGAAAATCTTTTTAAAATTCCAGAAAGCACTTCATGTTCTTACTTAAATTCATTAGTTATTACAATTGAAATCCTTAATTACAAATATTTGAAATCCAAGTCCACAAGTCATGTAGGAATTTGTACGGTACAGTTTAAGAAAAGATATACTAAAATTATAATCTTCGTCTTCTCTTCCACTAGTTTTCTTACTCATATTGATGTTCAATTGACGTTAATTTAACCAAGAGGACACTTATTTTTTTTCCTTTTTTAATCAGCCTAAATGAGCTGGAACAAATTGGAAATTTTATCAAATAAATAAATTGGGCATTTTATCAAATAAATATTAAAAACAAAAGAAGAATATGTATATTACTAGGTTCAATGAGCCCACAGAGCAAGTATCTTTGGTTTCTAGCCCTCAAGCACTTAACTAAACTGCTTGATCTTGATTTGAGTTGGTCAGAATAAAGTTGAGTTGACCTATTGACCATGTTTGTGAGCTAGTTCAATTCAATTGCATCCGTACTTGTTATTCGGAAGGCTTGGGAAAGAAAAAAGGATAATGGTCTATCAGTTGAATGTATAATTTTAGAAATTCAGAAAAATCAACATAATTTGTAAATTCCTATCAGCCCAATAACTAAAGGAAATATCATTAGTCTAGTGGGCTAAGGTTAATGTTTTGAAAATTAGAAGTCCTGCTGTCAATTTCCCTTTCCCCTGCTAAAAGAATTAAGGGGAAAAAAGAAGAAGAAAATATAGCTTTCATTTACCCAGAGTCATCAACCACAAATCCCTCCTCTCCAACAAAAGGGCTAGAGGGCTCTTCAGACATAATCGAGGCTAGATAGAAAGTACACTTTTTGCCAAAAGCTATTTATTTAGAATGTATTTTCTAAATAAGGAAAGACAAACCATAATTATAGGAACATCAACATAATATGATGTAAGAAAAATGGAATTAGTCCTCTTTCTGGTTATGGTCTTTTCTTTTTTCCCTTTTTATTTGTTAGATTCTGCCATTGATCGATATTCATCTACACCGTTTCTATGATCCAGATGCTAGTTGGGGTATCTCACTGGAATGCGCATATACTTAAAATTGTCTCAATTCATCAACAAACAGCTATAAACGATATATGAGGAAGATTTCATGATTGATATTTATCCCGTTAGTGAGCTAATTGAAGACCACGAGGAAGCGCTAAAGTTTCAACTAATTCCGAGAATTAGTATTTGGCTAATTTGACTATTGAATGGTGACAAACTGTTCGAGGAAAACGTGGTCTCAAGGAAAGAAATGATTTTTCACTCATTTAAATATTTTTCTCAATTAAATGTAATAAAATTTTGTAATTTCATATTGCAAAACTGTTTTTTGACAGTATATTTACATTTATAGGGTAAAAGTGATCCTAGCTATCATAATTTAATTTAGTATCGATGATGAGGGTTGTGGTCGACCAATTCTTTTTTTTTAAAAAAAAGAAACAAACAATTAGATCCAATCATTCCTGCCACTTTAAGATCAAATAGAGTGTTTGGATGGAGGATTATTTGAAAAATTTTCAGTATAACGCTATTGTAGTACTTTTATAATATAATGTATATAAGATTAAAATGAAGTTGGAACGATTAAAAATATAGTTGAAAAAAGTATTTATAATAAAATCAATTTTTTTTCCAAATAATGTTGTATTCAGATTCACGGCACGTTGTGATGTCTTTTATTTATTTACGCGCAACCAATCGATTCTACCTAATCCCGAAGAAAAGAGAGAATCATCCCATCCCTAAAGTCCGAAATTCTTATCATTTGAATCCATTTCACCCCTATTATATAATGCTCTAACTTGCAAGACATCTTTCAGTGCAAGGAGAGAACGAAGCAACGTTTTTGTTTCATAGACAGAGAAGCAACCTTTTTGTTTCATAGCCACATTCTTTGGCGTTGAATACCAAAAATGGGTGCCTCCAAGATCTCCACCTCCTTGATCTTCCTGTCTTGTTTGCTCCTTGCTTCCTCCGCCACAACAGCGGCATTTAACATCACTGCTGTCCTGGGGACATCCCCAGTTTTAGTAACTTCAATGATTTTGAGCAAGGCAGGTTTGGTTAAAGCCATCAATTCTCAATCACCCGTAACTATTCTTGCCATCCCTAATGAGCACATTGGAGACCTTGCTGGTAAACCGGCTGATGTTATTAAAATTACCTTGATGACTCATGTGGTTCTTGACTACTATGATCTCCTCAAGCTCGCAAACGCAAAAAATGGGACAAGAATGACAACCTTGTTCCAAAAAACTGGTGTGGCAACTTACGATCAAGGCTTCTTGATTCTAAACAGAAGTCATGGTCAGCTTATATTTTCCTCGGCTGCCAAAGGTGCTCCCACAATGTTCAGGTTGTTGCAACAGTAACGCAGCATCCATTTAACTACTCCATCATCAGTGTTTCAAGTGCTATCATGACGCCTGGAGTTGATGGCACCACTCTTCAAGAACCACCCAAGGCAGCTGGTGCTCCTGCTCCAGCCAAGAAGGTGTCTCCACCCCCAGCTAGCGAGGCCCCGGAGGCACCGACTCCGTCAGATGATGCCACAGCTCCCAGTTCTGATGCCCCCTCAGATGCCCCCAAGAGCGATGCACCTGCATCTCAGGCACAGCTGCAGATGCTGATGATGACAAAAACAAAAATGCAAGTTTCAAGCACCTGGCCTCTAGCACTCTTGGTTTTGTTGCGGTTTTGGCATCCTTCCTCGCTGCTTATTGAAGTGTTTGATCGCAACAAGGCATTTGTTAGGGAAAATTTTGAGCAAAAAAAATAAAAATGAATCCTATGTTTAATGGTGAGAAATGTAATGAAATGTAAATTTGCAACACGAATTTCTTTCCATATAATCATGTTTGTATTGAAAACAAAATCATTCCAATCCATTTTACCAGATAAGTCAATCTTTATCCTACAAAATAAAGTTTACTGACCTAGTGGCGGAGCCACGATTTTCATTCAGTGGATGCACAAATCAAAGGATTTTTTTTTTTTTTAGAAAAAAAAGATTGTCCTGAATGGAAGTGGAGAATGATAACATTCATATAGCAAGTAGTGAAACATATTTAATAAGTACAATAATAATATGTAAGAAACTATTGATCCCTATAACTCATTAAAATACAAATATTTGTTGTTTAAAAACTCACTAGCAAATCAAACTTCTTATAATATTTGGCTTATACTCTAGCAATCATTAAGGCATGGGTTGTTTGTATCATTTTATTCTTTTTCAATAAGAGTTCTTTCAGATTACTTACAGGCTCAAATGCAAATGCAAATGCAAATTAACTTACCGCAAACTATTTGGGGTGAAACCAGAAGTATCTGGTACTTATAAAATGTCAATTTTTCTTTGGTTAGTGGAGTACATTTATCATTTGATAGGACAACATTAAATCATTTTGAAACTATGATGCCTAAAACTGTAATTTAGTCTGTCCAGCAAGTGCCCTCTTTCGATAATGGTAAAATCCACCTTATATTCGCTTGATTTAATTCACGTTTTTGCTTACATACAGTCAATAAAAAGATTACTTACGTATATAATATAAACTCGATTTGATATAAAAATAACTCAGGATCCAAAATTCGAAAGTGTTACAAATTAAATGATTTAAACCGCCCGACTCATATGATCCAATTAGCAAGCCTACTCATCCGTACAATAAATAATGACTCCGGCTCTTGTACATTTTGTTTCCGTTGCTTCAAGAAACCCGAATACACCGCACCAGTCGAGTTCAGTTGTAAACCACATAACGAGAAACAAATAAAGCAATACACATATCGAAAATAGACTTCGGATCTTGAATGCATCATTACCACTAACTTCTCTGCCATTCCACACCTTTGCCATTGTGTATTCACTAGTGGTTTGGCTACAATACTTGCTAAACTTTCCTAGCCTCCAAAACATGTCATTCAATTCTCAATTCTAATATCTTCTGACAATTTGTTCCCTCACGGTTCTCAATATTTCCCTCCTTTCCACAAGATCACTTTCTTCTTTTCAACATCAAATTGGCTTACAATCACTCGAGCTCAAATTAGCGTTATGTCATGTATAATGAATGCCCTGTTACTCTCCAGTCCCCACTTCATGGACGAAGCACCTAAATTTTAAACAAAGAATGAAATAAGTTATTAAGCCAGCTTCTGGACACCCACCCGCATGAATTTCACTTGCGATGGGCTTCCACATCCGACATTAGCTTTGGCAACTTGCTCTTCTTTTGGTGATATTTCGCATATGAGTACCATATACCACCAGCTGTATTGATTACTAGTCCAGTAACGTTCAGTGCGTGCACTTGCACTCCTCCTAACAATATGAAACCAAAGGTCTGCACAGAAGCAAAGAAATGAGTGCATCAATTATCTAACCTCTTATGAAAAGCATAGAAAAGACGTCCAAAAAAACTGGCTTCAGGCTCTTAGATTTTCTTTAGATAGATATAGTAATTAAACTGCAAAGAAAAATTGAATCCTTACATACCGTTGAACCGACCCCCTTGAGGACACCAACTATAGTGGTGGTTAAAGCAGAGTTAACAATGGTACACAAGAACATAGTGTAGTTGAGAACAATTCCCATCACCAGAGAAAGAAGAAGAATAACCAAAAACGATAATGAAGTACTCTGTCCAGAGAAAAGATGCCCATGCCAAAAAGATGATTTCAGTGAGTATACTGGAAATAAGAACAGCACAAAGCAATATTTTAAAAGACAGCAATGTACGAGCTCAACCTCACATGAAATATAGGAACTCAATGGACTGTAGTATTCAAACAAAATAAACAAAAAATGAGAGAGGAGCTTGCATGCGTGTATCCCTTTTTAGCGGCTTCCATTTGATGAAAAAATGTTAGAGAACAATGTGAAACACTCTAATCAATGTCTATTCAGCAATGTCTTATCCAGCATTTGTCTCTTATGCACACTAGGCCTCCAGCAAAGATTAGGCATACGAATGGTCGGGAATGGGGAGGTACTATGCTTTGACTCAGCTGGAAAGATCAATTATGTTCTAGCTAGGACTTTATGACACCAAATACACAAACATCACACAGTTGACTTGAAGACCCTATTGACTGGTTCCAGTACCTAGTAATGTGCAAGCTGATTACCTAGTTGCAAAAGGATCTCCATTCCAGTATGTGCATAGCATACAATGCTAGCATTTAACTTGCATGATTTCTTGAAGGAAGTGCTATCTATGTAGAGAAAGGTAACATTATTTATGCAGGCAGTAGCATGGGAAAAGAAGAAATTTGATTCATGATCAAAGTTGAGGTTCTTGCAGAAAGCCTAAAGGAAAGCTTGGTCAGGGGGTCTTACTGCCAAAGCTGAAGTTCTATGTGAAGAACTTCACAAAAAACAAAAGAGAGGGGAAGGGGGGAACTATCCTTCAATCAGAAAAAAACCAGAATCCTACTTTTATACAGCCAACCCTGCTCTACAAAAAATCAATAGGATAAAACATAAGCTAGTCTGACATCATAAAAATAAAAGTAAAATTTGAACAAAGGAAATGCTAATACAGTCTTACTGCATCAATATATCTCCAAGGTAGTACTTTCCCAAGGTAGAAAAGGGAAAACTGAGTCATTTTCAAATTCCATCTTAACATTAACATATATGTTGGGGTTTATTAGGGTGTTTCTCATCTTATGTTAACATCCATGAAGATGACCAGATGAACAGCATAACCATCACATTTGATATTCAGGGATCTTGAAAAGGAAACACAAATACAAGTGCATAGTAATAAAATTCTACAGCAAAGTAATAATAATAAATCCAACATCAGAAACCTCACCTGCTAGGTCATGGTATCATATTGACACTCTTACTCAAAATAGTGATTTATCTATTATGAATGAATAGCATTTAAAACATATCCAGACAAAATCTCAGAACATGTCATTTCGGCCATGTAAAATATCATGTGACAACAATATGAATAACTCATTGACAACACTAGACAGGCTCATGGTTACTACTTGCCTATAGTTTCTACCAGCATAAACTCCTCTATTTTCCAGCGAAGGCTAAGACTTACCATGCTTGACTCAGACGGGCATGATTGACCCACCCCAAGACAGGCATGATTGACCCAGAAATTTTTCTGGAAAATCCCCATTATCAGTGCTACCAAAATTTCCATATTACTCAATTTGGACGGATCTGAAGCACTACAAGTTTTCTATCGTCTAATATACGAGTGCCATACTTTGTGATGTGATTGTGACCTTCACCAATAAGTACCAGAGTTTACAGTTGCTAGGCTCTATCTCTATTTAAGGCTGTTTGACTCCTCACTCCAGATTGATCACCTTGCTTGTCTAGCTTAGGAAACACCTTATTTTGGTTCAATAAGGCATTGGCTTAATGCATGAACACTTACCACAACCACCATGCACCTGTTCCACACTTGCTAAATCCAAAACTCATTCATTGGCCCCTCTTCCCGCTCCTGCTTGCACTGTTCTGACCCCATAAACAACATTCAATCCACATCTCCAATGGTCACCCCAGTGTCCATTTTTACCTGCCCAACTTGATTCCTACTTCCCATCATGCCTTTCCCTCCAGTGACTTTGCCGCTCCCCCACAAGCCACTGGCACACCATCCCCACCACCATACCAACCACTACCATAAAGCGCCACAAGACCACCAGCATTCCTCTGCCCACAACAACTGTCGGGAGAGGGAGGGTGATGGATTTTGCTGGAATGCAAGGAGAGAGAAGAAAATGGGGGAGTGGTGAGGAAAAGCATGTAGATGAAGAGGAAGAGAAAAAGAGAAGGCAGACAAGGTGGGGAAAGTGGCAGAAGATCGAGGGGTAAAGCTGAGGAGGCATGAAAGAGGTCAACAAGGGGGAGAATAGAGACAGAGGAAAGCATGTAGAACGAGGGTAGGAAAGAGGAATAATACAAAGGGGAGAGAGAAGTAGAGACACATGGCAAGAGAATAAAAAAGAATAAACATTGAGGAAAACAATCACGCAAAAGATCTTCCTGGCTAAAGTGAAACCAAAGTAGAAATTTGAAAAAATGAAGATCTTCCTGCCTAAAAGATCTTCAAGTAAATATTTGTGTAAGGCATCAAATGTAGAAAAAGTAGAAACTAGAGGGACTAAAATGAAGTTTGCCTAAAATGTATAGAACCATTAGAACAGAAAAAGAATATATCTGAGAAGATAATTATGTCTGAACATCCACTAGATATAGAAACAAAATGTGTGAGTTAGTCCTTCATTTTTGTCGCTTTTTTATTGTGTGGTTGGAGGTCAGTCTGTGGCATGGGCGCGAACCTGTTTATTAAGTAAACCTGAAAAAGCTACAAGAAAGGGAGTGGGGCATCAACAGTAACCTCCTTTAGAAATCAATTGCAGTATGCAATACAAAAACATTCAGCTTCTGCACGTTAATGAGTCGTCTTATAAATCAAGATATATTAGAGACCTCAGAACGTGTTTATTTGTGAATAGATGACAACATTTTAATCATGTATAGGGAAAAACATAATGAATTTGCTTAAATATTTTAAAAGCTTGCGTCTCTGTGCATTGTCCCAACACAACAAGAGAACAAAAGAAGGAAGGATCCATGTGCATGCTTCATGGCAGACTTAATAGCTGCACCAAAGCCAAAGATTGTCAGAAAATGCAATAGGAAGAACACAACCTATGGAATTGGTGTCTAACAATTTCCTGGCATTCAGTATGCTCTATAGAAACTGTAAACAGTTCCAAATTCCTAGTTGATTTTTGTAATAATAGAAGTGGAGCAAATACAGACTTAAGCATTTACTTGATTTGGTCTCCCAGTTTATCCTAGAATACCCTGGAAAATAAAGAGAACAGTCTCTTCTACTTCCCATTTAGTACCCTTCACTCTCTTCTAAGTATTTCATGATAATGCTCGAGAACAGAAATATTCCTAACCAGCCAAAATATTACTAAAATAGAGTTAACGCCCTTGAATAGCAAAGAAAATGCTTCCAAGACACATATATTCCTAACCAGGCAACATATTTGTAAAATACAGTTGATTCCCTTGATTAGCAAAAGAAATGCTAATTTGATGCTTTGGGATAAGAAGTACTCTAACCAACCAAAAATATCACTAAAAAATTATACATATGTGTGTCTGCATGTGTTGTACGTGCATGCGTGTGTGTGTGTGTGTATATCACATACATACATACATATGGTTGATTCCCTTGATTAGCAAAAGAAATGCTAATTTGATGCTTCACGATAAGAAGTACTCCTAACCAGCCAACGTATCACTAAAATATTATACATATGTATGTGTGTCTGCATGTGTGTATGTGTGTGTGCTATGTGTGTGTAGCAAGTCCACATTCAAATTTCATAAAAGAGATCATCAAATTCATTAAGCTTTAAAATCAGTTCAGTTTTACTTAAATTAAAATAATGTGTATGAATCAAATGTAGAGGAAACTAGAAAGGTCTTAACCTTTGCAAGCAACAATGACAAGGAGTTCGGAAACTCTCCAGTAGCGATGATGAGAAACAGGAGAAATGGTAAAGACAAAAAGCTGTTATAGAACATGATCTCAATTGATGACAGCCCATCCTCCGCACCTGACCTCTCCACCAATACAAGGTACATGGTCTGAATCGAAACAAAAAGTTCCATCAAATAGACATGTTAAGTATCAAAGTAAAAGTTGAAAACAAAACATAAAAAGGCCAGAGGAACAAAAGAACTCAAGCAAGACCTGGAAGAAAACAGAAGTAAGAGCCATGCTATATCCAAAAGGATCAAAAGAAAAATCTCCTAGCGCTGCTATAATTACACCTGCAGCTGTCAGCATAACTGAAAGGGTTACCTGAAATAAGATGAGAAGGACAAGAAGCATAATCAGAAGCTTATTAGTTTGATTGGTAGCCATTGAGATAATGGCTGCAGAGAAATTTGGAAAGAAATTGGGAGATACAAACAGGCTAAGGAGAAGTTCTTGGTAACCTTATTCAAGCATAATTTTTAAATTGACAATAAAATGTTAATGCAAAAATTCACATTGACTTTCATATAGTTGAAACACTTGCAATAAGAGTTCAATTCAACTCAAAATATATTAATTGCTTGATTTAATTCAACAATGAGTTATACAAAGATTCCTTTGGTTCAGAATCTCGTATCAGCAGCTTGACATATGGAAATTCAGCTTCAGATTTCAGCACAACTGCTGCATAGAATAAAGGAAGAAGCACTCTAAAACTTATATAAGAGCTAATGAGTCATTTTCAAAATAAAAAATTTCAAAGAGCGCAGAATCAAATTCCATTATTATTCTTTTCTCATATAAATTCTCTCATGTGAAGTAAACAATCATTGTCTGGAGCAAACCATATGGTAAACAATTTCATAGCCATTAACACTTGAAAGTAGTTCCTTCTTATTTCACGAATTTTGAAAAGATAAGGATGGTATTAACAGAAAATGGTACAGGGCAAGATTTTTTAGTCCAAATGTATAAAGCAGGCTCATCAACGCATAATTTTACTTTCTACTCATGGATGCACAACTGATTGTAAGATTTAACTCAAGTATAACTACCGCCGAAAAAAAAAAAAAGATACAGATTGCTACCAGTTTACAGGAAGGAATTGCTTGACGCATGTACAACATGTGCAGTTAAGAAAAAGATTATCTGGCCGCAAATGAGAATATCCAAGAAGAATGTAAAGGCAGCACTAACAGAAACAAGAAAAGCAGAAAAGAAACAGAACTACTAAAGGTAACTGCACTACTAAGTGTACATGGATAGTCTTGAAGCATAGATGGTGACCTGAGTTGTAGGTTTTCCCTTTCCAGTAAAGAATCCAGCTATTAGAACAGCAAGTGGTGTCAATCTTTTGATGGCAATGTACATTGGAATGTTTACTCCTTTTAAACTTGCTAAAGCAAATGCAACATTTGCATTGTAGAATAACGAAACAAATATAAGTTTTTTGGCTGTCTCCACATTTAGTCCTCTGGCTTTCATGTATCCCATGGATCTACCAAAATGAATGAGCAAAGTAGTTGCCAATTGCTGCTCATAGCTCAAACATGGCAAATAGAAACCTAGTCAATAATCTGAAAACCATTTAAAGCATTACTCTAGCAGGTACCTATCAAATATGAGCTGAATCACATGAGTAGATTTATAGAATACACCAATCATTCGTCAAGTTTTACCTGGAGTGTAAGCAAAGTCATTGAGTGTGCATACTGCATCAGCACTGCCTTATTGATGAAAACCATTGCCATTGAAGCAATCCCATATGAGACTGCAGCAAACAAACTGCATTGCAAGATATCCCTCATGTTTTTAAATCCCAACTGAGCAAACAAAATCCAAAAAGGAAAAAAAAAAGGCACAGACGCACAAACACACTCTTGCAGTAGTATGCAGAAAGTATATTTGCAGAAATACTTGAACAATTTTACAAAGAGGAACATTATACCACCAGTCAGTAGCACAATTGTGGTGAGGCTTCAGGTCATATGGTAACTATCACAGATTTAATTGAGGAAGAAAAGAAAAAGTCAATAAAACACTAACTAAATGGACAATTAGCTCCAGTCAATGCATTTCTGCATGCATTTTCAAGCTAAACAGTCTAAAGATAGCATACCATATCATAAACCACTTAAGAATAATCAAAGAAAAATACTTCAAAAAAGAAAAGAAAAGAAAGGGGAAACATCATGACATAATTACTGACGACATTGAAGAAGGCAGTTCAGTAAAAGTACAAGAGGCAGAGTACTGAACAGAATCTGTCCTTAGATGTCAAAATCTGCATAACTACAAAAAGCAGAGTACTGAACATAGTCTGTCCCTAGATGTCAAAATCTGCATATTCAGCAAAATCATATCCAGTCCAGAAAGCAAATTTAATGCAAAGAAAAATAAATGCATCACAAAATTCAAGGGTCTGCCAATTAAATTTCAAAAAATAGATAATTAATCAGCATAAATCCAAACCTCAAGAATGAACTCGTGTCTGCAGCATCCATCTCTCAAGCCTGAACCCACCTAATAAATGCCACAAATATTTCAATATCACAATTATTTCAACCTTAAAAACAAAGTTGGGCTTTTCGTCCCAGATGGCAAAAAATGGCGGGCTTCAAGAAAATAAGAGAATTGATTCAAGTAAGAGGGACGCTTAATGTATAAATCAACGATTGGATTAAGAATTGAGTGAAACTAAATTTAAAAAAAAAGTCACATGAATAATTAAATTAATTGATAAATAAGTGAATAAAAGTTCTCCTTGGATCAAGAGAAAGAGTGGTGGTGTTGAATTTTGAGTGAAACCTATGACTAATGTGACTAGTAAAAATTGTTTACGCAATAGTTTAAGGTAATTAGTAAAGTGTTAGTTGTGGGTTTAACGTTCGAGGATGAAACCTGTGTGTACTTGCCTAAACAGCAATGCCACGTTCCTTTTTTGATTTTGTTCTTTTGCTTTTTCCCCTCCAACCACAGATCGCAAAATGGTGTAATGTAACAGCGAGGCATTGGGGATTTGATGGGGAATGGGGATTGGGGGATTCGTGGATTACGCAAGAGTCGGTGAAGCAGGTGAGGGGTTGACCGTTGGACTGTGAAGCCATCGCCATGTGAGGCGGGTTGATTGCCGGGGAAAGACGGAACGAATGATATGTAGATTGGTATATACGGTTATTATTGGTTCTCAACGAAATTGGATAACTATTATTTGGCCAAATTAAATTGCATCACAAATATAATTTTTTCTTTTCAATCACCTTTTTATTTTACATATATCGTATCACAAATGATGAAACATGAAGATCGATCTCAAGAATCATTGAAGATCTGAACTTGTGTCATGATTATTTCTTGCTATTTATTAATTAAGTTTTCAGCAATAAGTGTTAGTTAATTAGAATTAGTCTTGAGTTATTTTTGAATCCTTAATAAGGGGAATAAAGGCTAAGGTCATGTTGACCATAATTAAGCCAATTTCAATTAGTTAAGTTGCTATTCTAGTTGAATTAGAGTTTTTGAAAAGTAGTTAATTGGCTTCCAAATCTTGATTGATATCTTGATTGATTTTTAAATCTTGATTGGTTTTCAAATCCTGATTGGTTTCCAAATCTTGATTGATGTCTTGATTGATTTCCAAATCTTGATTCCAAATTTATTTAGAAAGTTGTGTTAAGTTTAAAATCAAGTCAAATAAGGAAACTTGTATTGTTTTCAATTTATATTATGTTTCAGAGTCTTGTAAGGCTATAAATAGCCAACTTTATGTAACTATTCGAATATATGATATTGAAAAATGAATTAATAAAAAGAGAGTTGTCTCCTTTTATGGAGTTCCTTGATGGAACTTAAGTTTCTTCTTGAACTGTATCAAGTATTTAGTTTGGATACTTGTGGTGTTCAAGGCAAGATGATCACATCATTTTGTTCTTTCAAACCAATAACAATCCACTAGGTTTCTAAAGACGGGTTCTCTTTAACTCTAGCAAGGTAGTTATTGTTCAAACCAATAACCAATCACTAGGTTTCTAGAAACGGGTTCTCTTTAGATCTAGCAATGTAGTTATTGTTCAAGTCAATAACTAATCTACTAAGTTTCTAGAGACGGGTTCTCTTTAGATCTAGCAAAATAGTTATTGTTCTATAATCTGGTCAAAATAGATTCTTCTGCTGCATGATCGATTCAGTTCTTCAAGTAGATTCATGTTGGGTCGAGTTCGTATCATCTGGTATCAGAGTTCGGCTCTTGATTTAGGTTAATATCCTTTTCTTTTTATTTTTCTACCAAAACCCTAGCCGCCTTTTGATTTAAAAGAAACAAAAAAAAATTATTCTTTTTTTTATTTTGAGTCTAACTTACCCCCTTGATTAATTGAGATTAGAATTTCATGGTGTGATTACGTTCTTGAAAACAGGTTTTTCAAGGGTTTAACTCCCATTAAATTTCTTCCAAGTGAAGTCGTAACCTTGTGTCAAGTTATAAAAAAAAAAGGACTGTTCACGGGGAGACTGTTCACTACTGTAGTAGCACTATTCATCCCGTCGCTACTGTAGCAGTTCTATTCATCGTACTGTAACAGTACTGTTCATCCGAAATTTTTTTCCTCCCCATATCTTGTGTTTGTTTCTTGTTGCTCTTGAGTCTTGTAGTTGGCTTGGTTATTTCTTGAAATTCTTGGATTGCATATATTAAGACATTCTCCGAGTTACTCTTTGTAAGCAATCACTCGATTTGAGGATAAATCGTCTTTCAAGAGAAGGGGAATGATGAGAACATAAAGATCGAACTCAAGAATCATTGAAGATCTGAACTTGTGTCATGATTATTTCTTATTATTTATTTAATTAAGTTTTCAGCAATAATTGTTATTAATTAGAGTTAGTCTTGAGTTATTTTTGAATCCTTAATAAGGGGAATAAAGGCTAAGGTCATGTTGACCATAATTAAGCCAATTTTAGTTAGTTAAGTTGCTATTCTAGTTGAATTAGAGTTTTTGAAAAGTAGTTAATTGCTTCCAAATCTTGGGTTTCCAAATCTTGATTGATATCTTGATTGATTTTCAAATCTTGATTGGTTTCCAAATCTTGATTGATGTCTTAATTGATTTCAAATCTTGATTCCAAATTTATTTAAAGTTATGTCAATTTTAGAAGTCAAGTCAAATAAGGAAACTTGTATTGTTTTCAATTTAATTACGTTTCAGAGTCTTGTAAGGTTATAAATAGCCAACTTTATGTAACTATTCGAATATATGATATTGAAGATGAATTAATAAAAAAGAGTTGTCTCCTTTATGAATTCCTTGAACTGTATCAAATATTTAGTTTGGATACTTGTGGTGTTCAAGGCAAGATGATCACATCATTTATTCTTTCAAATCAATAACCAATCCACTAGGTTTCTAAAACGGGTTTTCTTTAGATCTAGCAAGGTAGTTATTGTTCAAAAATAACTAATCCACTAGGTTTCTAGAGACGGGTTCTCTTTAGATTAGCAAGGTAGTTATTGTTCTATAAC